GTGAGAGGATTCATAGGTGATAAGTGACTTTCTAGTCCCTATGCACAGTTGTGGCTGGCCTCTTGTGATGGCTCGATTGCTATTAAATAAATAAAAATTTAGACAGAAAAAAAACTGCTCAAGAAAGGTGTTATTTTCAGTGGGGAGTGTTTATTAGAGGAAAAAGTAAATATGAGAAGACTGCAAGTAAAAAGTTGTGTTTTGGTACCTCAAACAGAAAAGCAGCAAATGCTAGTAGGAAATGAGACATGAAAGAAAGGCGAAAATACACACAAGTATATGTACATCTCAGAAAAATAAAAGATATAAGCAGACATCCTGAAATACACTGCCATTTGATCTAAACGTCTCTCCCCCTCTTACTTCCCATGTCAGCCAAGGATGATGCCAACACCGGCGTGCCAAGGTTTTGTTCTAAAATAAAACGAATACTCATCAGTGTTATCTTCTGGGAGGCCAAAGCACACCGAGAATGTATGGCACAACCTCAAAGCATTCATTCCACATTAAACAATTTCAAGCTGCGAACATATTTCAAAGGACTAATCTACTTTTTGATAAGTAAACCAGCACACAACAGCAACCAACGACAAAGGATTAGCTGTGTCTTCAGTGAGAGAAAATCTCCATGTCCTACTGGTATTTTCCACAATCCCAGACAGCCAAACAAATACAGATGGGCAGACAAAATGCTTTCAAGAAATTAGATGATACACTGGAGTCATGATTCACACACAACAGTTCCTAAAAGAGTTTCAGGATTCCTTATCTCAGAGGTGGCTCCAAATGTTTTTTTAATCCTATGCAAGTGGTATGAGACATATAGACTCTTCCAGAAAACTGCACTCAAACTATTTTGCATATGTTTTCTGAGATTCACCTAAGAAGGGGTCATTAGTGAAGAATATCTATTTGAAGTGACATAGATTTGAAAAGGGAAACTTCCTTACAAATGACAAAAAGGCATCAGTGTCTTAGTTCTCACACTAAACCTGTAATTTACAGAGCACTTTTACAAATCTAAGCTCACTAGAATCTGATAGTTAATGCTGAGACAGACCTAAACAGTTATTCCTGTTTTACACCTGAGAAAACTGAGGCACAGATTTAATGACTTGCCAAGAGTATCCAGTTAATAGAGGTGGTATTAAAATGTAACTGTTTGATTCCTCATCCAGAACTTCACTGCTACCAGAAAAAATACATATATATATAGTGTAATGTCTGCCCCTACCACACAAAATCAGGCATGGGCTGGTTCAGGGAATTCTATACACTAACCCTCACTTGCCTCATCAATAAAATACCTCTTCTTCATACTGCTTTAAGAGTAGACAACTTTTCCAAGCACATGAAGTATCCAAATCTGTTCACTACACTGAATGAGCATCTTTCTCTGTGGTTTGATGTCTAAGCTTTCTTCTCCACATAGACTGATAGAGCCTTTCCCTTAAGCGGGGCCAGTCACATGAACACTTATCAGTGCGCCTACTACAATACAGTGTTAAGTTAGGATCCCACAATGTCCTTCAACACTATCAAATTCCCAAGACAGTTTACCCCTGCATTTAATGACCCACCTGCTGTGTTCTGCTTGGGTTTGTGTGGTCATTCCAGCTTCTCCTTTCGTGCTGGTGGCGCATTTCTATTGTTGTCATTACTTTAGCTTCTCCAAGCACCAATTCCCTTCTACTACTTTGCTTCTTCTCACTTGCCACATGGAGTGACAGATGAGAAATTTAATGTATTGGAATTCAGAGTCCCTCTGTTTAGTAAGGTACAAAAGCTTTAATTCTCATGTTCTTGTCTATTCAGGGGTCTTTCTAAGATTCAATGATATTTGGATTCAAAATAACCTCCAATTTACACAGATGGCACAAACTCTCATAAATTATTTATGGAGATTTGGTTTTTCTTTGAGTACAGTGATATTTCCTTAACAAAAGATTACCTTTGGTTCCCAAAAGAAATATAACAAGATCCTATTTCATGCTTATAGAGTAGGGGCTCAAACATTACATTTGAAATAATTTTCCCGAACAGAAAAACAGAGGTTAAGAAATTCAGAAAAATATTACGAAGTATAATAGAGCAAATATAAACCTTTCCATTCTGGTTGTTCTTTATAATCTGTTGAATCAAGCAGTAAATCAAGGGACGCAAAAGAAAATGGTTTTTAAAAGTAATGCAGGTACCAAACGACACTTCTACCATATAGAACTTAATTGTACTTTTTCCTTCGAATATTCACCATCAGTTATTAAAGACATGCTTTATCATTATAAAAGAATTAAATGCAAAAGAGATCAACACAAAAGGCCTTAGCTTGCATCTAAAACTCTTCTCCCACCTAAGCAGAAAAACTGATGAAATCCAATTTTAACCAAAGTACTTGATTAATGGTGAAAAGTCCTACGAAAACAATCATTTGCTATGTAACGGAATACCAAGAGAGAAGTTATAGGATATATTATGGCCAAAATAAGATAAAATCCATATTACGAGATTACATGTTCATGTTTTTCTGCTGGTATTATGTAAGAAATCAGGTATTATGTAAAAATTCTTACTTTTACTATTGCTGAGTCTCACAATGGCACGATTAGAAATCTCTAATATATTTCTATATTTCATCATTTTCTTCCACTTTAAGGAAAGGACACATCTGAGTAGCAGAACAGCGGTCTGTATAATCGAAACAGTAGCACTATTAAGCATTTCGTGTGGGCCAGGCAGTGTTCTAAGCATCTGACATCTATGAATTCCTCACAGCAACCCTGTGAGATGAGGAGGCTGAGGCTACAAGAAGATAGACAGCTTTCCCACAGCGGAGCCCGTGTGCCAGCACGGGTGTCCAACATCATGTCATTATGTTAAGTCACCTCCTATGTTAAGAGTATTTCACTTTAGTACTTTAGAGTACATTTTCTAGATCTCGTCCTTCCACACTGCCAACTCCACTAACTACGCTTAAAAAGAAAACAAAATCATTGGAGAACTCATCAACACCTCCAAGTTCATTAGAATAAAATCTATTTGTGGCTTACGTACGGCCACATGAACGGTCAAGCAGCGTCCTGTTTTGTTGACACATTTCAGAGTGTAGTATGTAGGAAGAGACAGCCCAGAAAACTGTCTTCTAAACTGCTAAAAAGGACTGTAACAATTAATGTCGATATAAATAAATCTTTAACAATTGAGATTTTATACAATTTTTAAATGAGAACCAAAACATATCCCCTCTCTCACTACCTCCAATCTTCCAAAAAGCCCAAACAAAACCCTAATGAAATGTGATCAAACCAATGAAACACAAACCCTTCACACATTTAAGCTGTTTAGTTTTACTCTTATTTTATTCTAAACATAAATGAAACTCAAATAAAAACAGCCCCTACAATGTTCTTCCTTTGGCAAAAAAATGTTTTTTAACAGCCCGTCACGTCAAAGTACATGGAAATTTTTAGTTCATTACCTGCTTCTTATTAACATTCAATGACTTGTTTTTTTAAAAATAAGAACACAAACAAAAGAAGACAAAACCTGGAATCTGGAAAAGCATGAGCTCATAGCAGTCAAAGATCTGCACCGAAAAGCAAATAAAACCTTTCAGGTAACTTTTCCTAAAAATTGGAACACCTCATATTCCCTGTGAAAAAGAAATGGCATTTTAAATTCAAAGACATAGAGACTTACTATAGCTCTTGTACATATTTTTTAGTATTTACATTTCAACAGTATTTAGAACAGCAGTATTTTTCTATCATAGCATGCTCACTCTTAAAATTTACTTAATGACACCTTGAAAAATTAAGCTCTATTTTTAAACCCAATGGTTTCTTATAGGTCATGAACATATCTGATATGCTTTGTGTGAGAAATCACTAAAAGCATTTCAAAAGACTTTTTATAAAAAACAGAATGATACCCACCCACACCAAAGGTTTAAGGGAATTTAATTACTATGCTGTCACCAAATGGTTATAATCACTTCAGATATAATTAGTTCTCAATACTTAAGTTTGATAGACTGTTTTCTTCTTTAGGTACCAAAGATCATTTTTTTGCATTCTCATTAGAAATTAGTCTTTATCAGAAATGGCATCAAAGGAAATAAGAGAATGTTTTACAAGATACCAGCCTGAATACAGGGGATGGGAGTGGAGGGTGAAAAAGCTATGGTTCCAGCAACAGAAGACGTCAGGGTTCTTCTGATCCTGCTCAAGAACCAGATTCCGTAAAATCCGCAACAGAATGAACTGACTATTCTGGGTAGGAGGAAACAGGAAGAAACACCTCCGAAAGAAATAAAACGTCCAAAACACACTGGCAATATAAAATCACCCACTGAATTCTGCACAATATACCATAAGTCTGAAGTAAATAAGCTATCACTTTAATCAAACACCATCAGTGTTATCACAGGGAGCATCACGTATCCACTAATGGATACTAAATGCCAAATTAAACTACATTGATTTAATCAACTTGAAGTGTGACGCTAACGGAAAAAAAATGGTTAATGCCTGAAACTTGAGTAAGGGAGAAGTAAAACCAAAGAGACAAACAAGGCACAAGTTTTCACAGTACATAGTCAGAGATAAAGTAATATTTGGCAAAATCTTACTGGTTGAGGTATCTAACTCTGAAAGCTCAGTGGCACACACTGTATAGGAGATGATTGAAAATGGTTTGTGATCTAATAAATTTCTACATTTTGTTGTTGCTACTATTGTACAATGAAAGAAGACAACCAATTTTGGTCAGTCCTGGTAAAACATTAAGAGGTGGCAACTGACTTTGAAAAACCCAAGGCCAAGAAAAAATTGAAACCTTTTCTGACATAAGCATCTCCTACACAGAAGAAAGTTTACCAACACAGCGGAAGGAGGGACAGTAACACAAAGCCTATTTTATATATTTTAGTAAATACCACTCTAATTGATAGTACCCACGACCGCAGTGAGTCTCAGGGAACTCTCCTCCAGTCATTTACTTACCTCCACTGCCCGCATCTTGCTCTTCGCCTTCAGGAAACGCAACCTGGCTTGGCAAGCTATTCCTAGACCGAGTGACCGTCTCTAACTGGGAAGCCCGGCCCAATAACGATAGCTCATCTAGCACCTCTCCCTCTTTGGCCTCGAGATCAGATTTTGAAGTGGTTAAGGGTTTTATACTTTCGGGTGCCATCAGCCTATTGGAGTCATTCAAACACGCTACTGTGCCACTGTCCAGGCTCAACACTCGGGCCCGCGTCTTGGCACTATTTGTGCTGGAAGTCCGACGTGTCGTCCGCTTTTTGCAAGTTCCTTCGGGACCCGGATGGCCTTTGTGTGTGTGCTCGGAGTCAGTGCCCCTTTCTTTCGGGACGTGTTTGGTCTTTAGAGCACTGCATCTGCCCTCCGGAGACTGACATGAATGAGAAGTGGTGCTGGAAGAGCTATCGCTGCTGACCTGGTGAGCAGACTGCACACTTGATGCTCTGCTCAAGTCACTTTGGTCGCTAGAGTCCTCATCGTGACAGAATATAGCACTATGTGGCTTTGTGCCAGCAACACCTCGGAAGGACACATAGTCCCTATGCCGACTTGAATCAAAACTGCTGGCCCGTTTTTTTCCTGTCCGTCTCCGGCCTGACTTATGGGCAGAGGCTGTCCGGTGGATCAAGCTAGAGGATTTAGGTCGTACATCCCCTTCCTTTTGCTTTCCACCACCGTCTTTACCAACTTTTGAGTCCGCTGAGACAGCTGACTTTTCACTCTGCTCGTCTTTGGGGTCAGCGGTTTTCCCAAGCGGTCTGTCCCCCTGGGAAGTAAATTCATTTGCGTGGGGATTCTTGTTGGCTTCTTCAGATGCAGAGGTGCTGAGACCTTTCTGATTGTGCATATCATCAGAGGTGCTGGGATCCTTGGCCTCTTGAACCCCACTGTTTGTACTCACTTCCAAGGCAGTCTTCTCACTGTTAGTCCTTTTGTCACTGGTACAGCTACTCTGGTCCTCTGGGTCAGCACAGCACTCCTCTTTCTTCCTACCGCTTTTCTTTCCTACTTGAGGGGACTCCTCATGCTCCGACAAGATGCTCTCTATATGAGTCGAGCTGGTCTGCTCACTTTTGTAGCTGCTGACGGTACTGTTGGTGTCACGGTCCGTTCCACTGCAGTAGCTCTCTGTCGACCCACTGCTCCGCGTGCTCAGGCTCCTCAGGCTGTCCACGCTTTTGTCTGCTTTCAAAGGTTTGCTCCTCCCACTTTTTGTAGGTGGCTGAGAATTACTGTTTTTCAGCTCACCAACGAGCTGAAATTCCCCAGATAAACAAGCATTTTCCACCAAGGATTCTTTGGATCCAGAATGAGGCTTGGAAGATTCTAACTCGCTAACCGGATCTAACCCCCGTCTTTGCTGATAGAGAGGGAAGTCGTTCAGTGAAGTGTCTGGAAAAGCCACAGCAGAGCTAGAAGTCCGTGGTACCCCTCGTGGCCGGTGATCTTTCCTGTAAGAGTGTGAATGTAAAGGGACAAGAGAAGCCACTTCTGTGTCACAGGTGTTGGACAGAGACTGATCGATGTGGTGGTGGTGGCCATGACTCGGCAAGCTCACTTTGTCACTAAAGTCCCTTGGTAAGTCCTGTCCACAGGAGGATAAGGAAGGCTGAATGGAGATGAAGGAATCATTGGAGACCAGACGGAAGAGCTTCCGATCAGTTGCCAAATCTGTTTCAAACACATATTTGGAAATGTTAACACAAATCTATGATCTGCTTATATACTGTTTAACAATGGAAAGAACTCACAGCATACGGTAACTTGAGGAAAAACAATTTCCCGAGTAGTTCACTGAATACAAGTTGGCAAGTCATTCCAAAGAGTTGGTTTTTATTTCACAGCTGGACAAAGAAAGCATTCTATTTACAGAATGAACTGAACTTCCAAATCCTCGAATGGCCTGAGAAAAGGTTCCATACACTATCAACAATAAGGGGCAACATAGGATTATATTTAAAACAGCCCTGGATTTTTTTTTTTAAGATTTTATTTGAAGTAATCTCTACACCCAACGTGGGGCTTGAACTTACCACCCCAAGATCAAGAGTCACATACTGTACTGACTGAACCAGCCAGACACCCCATAAAATGGCCCTGGACTTTTATGTGAAGTCTGTCTCTAGCTTACTAACTGGATAGCTCTGGTTTCCACGGCCCTGGTTTCCTCATCTATAAAATGAGATCTCACTAAGTAGTACCATGAAATAATGGAGTTAATGTGCTTAGCACAAGCATTTCTTAGCATAATGCCTGGTACAATGAACTGCAGCTATCATTATTCTACCTCTCTAACACAATACAAAAATTTTTGAAAAACCAATGTGATTATCTTACAAATCAAAAAAAACCTAGAGTAATTTGAGAAAAAAAAAATCAAAAGGCTGACCAATCCATAAAGAAGATGCAATATAATGATGTAAGATGTCTTGCTGTTCACAATGACCAAAAAAATTAAAACAGTTGTAGAACAAAATACTGTGTTTTCTCTTTCATCATTCATGCAACAATTACAAAATGCCTCATGAAAAACTACACATTCCTGTATATCTGTAAGACCATTCCTTTAACACTCCACTTAGGGCAGTTATTAGTGACTGGAATTACCATACGTACTATGTACACAGATATAAATAAATCCACCTACCCAACTACACTGTAATTTATCTTGAAATACAGTTTGGCAATTGAAGAGTACAATAGCTGACTTTTTATATACTTTTTGACAGACAAGGATGACTGAATCTGCTATTAGCTCAATAAAAATTATCTTATTTGTTATAACCACATAGAAAAAATACAATTAGTAGATTCTGTAGTTGACTCACACTCTTCCCAGGCAAGCTCAATAATAAAAGCATACCTTCCCCTCTAAGATTAATATAAAATAAAAATGAATTACTAGAAATGTGTATGTACTTTTAAAAAATCTAAAGCTAGCTCTTTCCCTGGTATCTTACCGCTGCGTCAGTGCAGGTAGGGGATTGAGCTCGAGCTAGCTCGAATAAAGGCTCTTTGCTTTTGCATCGGAAAAAGAAAAATAAATAAATAAAATAAAATAAAATAAAAAATAAAAAATCTAAAGCTAGGGGGGCCTCGGTGGCTCATTCGGTTAAGCATCCAACTTCGAGTCATGATCTCACAGCTCACGGGTTCCAGCCCCATATCGGGCTCTGTGCTTACAGCTCAGAGCCTGGAGCTTGCTTTGGACTCTGTATCTCCCTCTCTCTTTGCCCCTCCCCCGCTCATGCTCGCTCTCTCAAAAATAAACATTAAAAAAAATTTTTTTTAGAAATGTAAACCTAGACTAGATTTAAATTAAAAACTTAGAGGGGCGCCTGGGTGGCGCAGTCGGGTAAGCGTCCGACTTCAGCCAGGTCACGATCTCGCGGTCCGGGAGTTTGAGCCCCGTGTCAGGCTCTGGGCTGATGGCTCAGAGCCTGGAGCCTGTTTCCGATTCTGTGTCTCCCTCTCTCTCTGCCCCTCCCCCATTCATGCTCTGTCTCTCTCTGTCCCAAAAATAAATAAATGTTGAAAAAAAACAAAAAAATTTAAATTAAAAACTTAGAAACAGCCTCTAGAATCTACCATATAAATTGATTTATAAATGACCTATTAGGCTTTATCTTATGTTTTAAAGTCTTCAACTTAATGGGGCTCCTGGGTGGCGCAGTCGGTTAAGCGTCCGGCTTCAGCCAGGTCACGATCTCACGGTCCGTGAGTTCGAGCCCCGCGTCGGGCTCTGGGCTGATGGCTCAGAGCCTGGAGCCTGTTTCCGATTCTGTGTCTCCCTCTCTCTCTCTGCCCCTCCCCTGTTCATGCTCTGTCTCTCTCTGTCCCAAAAATAAATAAACGTTGAAAATAAAAATAAAAAAATAAAGTCTTCAACTTAAGTATAAAATTCATGTTCTTTATCATTTGTCCAAAACAGCTGTCACTGTATTTGGGGTTCTGATATCTCTAAATATCAAAATTTAAAAGTTAGCATTGTATTTACTTTTTTGTAGTATTAAACTGTAAAGTTATTTCTAAAAACTCTATAATAAGCGATTATGAAATAGGATATTCACATTTCAAAGTTATGAATTTTATAGGACGAAAACTTAACAAGCTACTGAAAATCACTAACTCTAAAATATGAGAAAAGACTTAAAAATGCTATCAAAACCAATTCCAAGACATTAACAAACCAGAAACATATTTTTCATTTAAAAAGACACACGCAAACTTACTTTAAAAGTACTTTACGTGTACTTTTTCCAATGTTGCTAAATATACCATAAAAAAATCAAATCTTGTCAGGAAATCTTAGATGGTTTTAGGAGACTTTCAAGTAAATACGCTTTCTTAGATATTTTTCTCACTGGTAGCAATATGGTCTAAGGCTCAAATCAATACAAAGAGGTACTATTTTCATCTAATCAACGTTTTTACCAATAATTTCTACCAGTGGCATTTAGGATAAGAAAGGCACACCCACATACTGCTCATGGGGATGCACCGGCGTAATCTTCTATAAAACAATCTAGCAATGTGGCCAAAAGCCTCACAAGAGTGTACATACCCACCCATGATCAGTAATCTATTTCTAGAAATTGCTGCCAAAGGATAAAATCACCTATGTATATAAGGTTTTAGCAAAAAATTGTTCATTTCAGGTTGTTAACAAAACTTCTTAAAACATAAAAAGTATGAAAATGTCCAATAAAAAAAGGTCAAATAAATTGGACTGTCTATTAAAACATCACACAGGCACTAAAAATGTTTTCAAAGATGACATAATAAAGTGAGAAAATACTTGAGTGAAAATGATGGCACTATATAAAAAGTATGGTTCCAATCTGTAACAGTTAAAAAGAATATTAAGAGTATATTTGCATATATGTGTAGGAATATTAAAAGTAATATACCATATTTAGCCATAAAAAGGAATAAAGTCCTGATATATGCTACAACATGCTAAGTCAAGGAAGCCAGACACAAAAAGCCACCTATTACATAATTCCGTTTATATGAATGTCCAGAAGAGGCAATAGAGACAGAAAATAGATCAGTGGTTGCCAGGGGCTGGTTGAAGGAGGAAATGGGAGTATCATGGGTATGGTGTTTTTTTTTTTTTTTTTTTGTGGGGTGACAAGAATGTTCTAGAATTGGACAGTGGTGATAAGTGCACACTAACTACTAAATACTAAAACTCACTGAATTGTACACTTTAGAAGAGTGAATTTTAAAGTACATGAATTATATTACAATACAAAAATAATTTTAAAAAGTGATACACCAAAAAATAAAGTTATGTCAGTGCCAAAAATGTGAATTATTTTCTTCATATTAACTGTCTTTTCTAAAATTAACATATGTCACTTTTATAAACAAAAACCACATTTTCCTCCTTTCTTCTGGATCATCTCCATCAGTTATAAGAAACAAGCTGTTATTTCTCTTACATGTTCTTAGAAAATCCCAATCTCTCCTTTATCCTCACCTTCCCCTGCTGGCTTTCACCCTGAGTCACTGATCCCCTTTCCACAAATTCACCAAGAGTAGTCTGTATTCACTCTTTTCAGTTCTCCTCCTCTAATTCTCTCCTACAGGTACTCTGATCCCCCTCCATGAATGTGCTTATCAAGGTCACCAACAATCCAATGGCCAAGTCTCAGCCTCGTATCACCTGACCCATGGGCACTGTTGGACAAAGCTGAGCACTCCAGTCTCCTTGAAAATCCGGGATACAGCACTCTAGGCCTTCCTTGCACCTCACCCGCTCTTCCTACGGGGTCTCCTGCACCTATTACACCGGACTGGCTCAAAGCTCAATCCCTGGAACTTTTCGTTTTTCCATATACACTCCCTCTTTTCTCCATCTCATCCAGTGTTCTGGTCCCACGATAACTAAAATTCAGAAATACTTGTAATTAGCTTCCTCCATCTTCTACCCAGCGCCCACATTCAGATGGGATTAGGGTAAAATACTGATCTTGGGTAGGGAAAAAATGGGAGCGGCTGGAGACGGAAATCAGAGATAAGCCCTTCTTAAAAGCAAAAAATGAGAGCACACGTCCCCTCATCCTAGTTCACTCTCAGTCACGTCCATAAAATGAGTGCCAACTAATCAATAACTGCTAACCAACTAAATGCTGCTGCCCTGTAAACCCAAACCAGCCAGAGAGCTGGAAGAGCCCCAAGTGATAATTAAGCCAGAGTAAGCAACTGCCACTAGGTGGTGCCAAATCGTAGCCATGACCAACAAAATTGGATCAGGGAGCCTGAACTCCATGCAGGCTTGCCAGTTACTTTATGAACTTCATGATAACCCAACCCACAGTTAACATGACACCCCCGCCCCCCGCTCTTTTTTTTTTTGAATTTATACACTGAAAACTCATGAATTTAAAACCTCAACCCGGACTTCATACCTGAAATCCAGACCTACCCTAATTAACTACTAATTGTTGCCACTTAGAGGTCTAACAGCATCTCATACCTGATATGCCCAAAACTGAACTCCCCATCTTACCCTCCTCCTGCTCTCCCTACTCCTAAATCTGTTCCTTCTCAGCCTTCTCCCTTTCCATCCTCCCTGTCACTTAACCCAAAAACCTTACAGTCATCCATGAGTACTATTTCTCTTACAGGATATATCCTAATCCATCAACATCAACATATCCTGTCCCTAATATCTTCTACACACCCAATCAGACTACTTCTCACTGTCCTGCTCCGTGCCTTGGATTACTGCAATCATCTGGTAGCTGAGCTTCTGCTCCAGCCTCTGACCCTTTTAATCATAGCCACAGTGATTCTGTTAAAAGGTAATTCAGATCATGACACTCCCTCTGCTCAGTACCCTTTAGCAGTTCCTAATCTCACTGGGAATTAAAACCACAATTTTTTTTTAATGTTTATTTTTGAGAGAGACAGAGACAGAATGCAAGTGGGGGAGGGGCAGAGAGAGAGGGAGACACAGAATCTGAAGCAGGCCCCGAGCTGTCAGCACAGAGCCCGACACGGGGCTCGAACTCAGGAGCTGTGAGATCATGACCCGAGCCGAAGTAGGACGTTCAACCAACTGAGCCACCCAGGTGCCCCTAAAACACAATCTTTAAAATATCTTACAAGACTATACAGTTTGTAGCCTCACTTACTTCACACCAGCCCCACTATTTCTCAAACCTGACAAGCATGTTGTTACTTTAGGACTTTTGCCTGTGCTGTTACTCTTGCATAGAGACAGCTCATTTCCCCCCAAATATCCTGATAGCTCACTCCTTCACCTCCTTCAGGTCTTTGCTCTCAGCGAGGCTTTTCTTTGACCACTCTATTTACACTTAAATCCCCCCAACCCCCACCACTCCATATATATTTGATACTAGTATGATTCCATACTAATAAGTATGGAAGCCACATAAGAGTAGAATTTTTTGTCTGTTCACTGATTTATTTACGGTGCTTAGAATGGTGCTCAGAGCGTGTAATAAGCACTGAACAGTATCTGTTAAATGTTATCTGTGTTATCTGTCAAATTTTCAATGTTGTCATATTAAAATGTTACACGACAGATGTTACAAAACTATATAAAAGTGGTGTAACAACAATTAAAAGCATGATTCAAAACTAGATTTCAATTCTAGGACTGCCACTTTGTAGCTGTGTGACTTTGGTCAGGTTTTTTATAACTTCTCTTTTAGCCATGATATGTCCATCTGTAATGTGAGAATCACATTAACATCGAACGCTTACAGTGAAAATTAACTGTGTGAATGCGTATGAAATGCTTAAAAGAAGACCTAAACCAGAAGTTGACAAACTAAGACCCATGGAGCCAATTTGGCCCTCTGCCTACTTTGAACAAGGTTTTAGTGTAATACAGCCATGCTCACTCATTTATGTGCTGTTTATGGCTCCTTGAGCTCTACAATGGCAGTTGAGTAGTTGCAAGAGAGACCATATGGCCTATGGAGCTATCTGACCATTTACGGGAAGTCTGCTGACTCCTAGCATATATTAATAGTGTGCACTCAGTGAACATTAGACATCACTATCTATGTCAGTATGTTATCTGCAGAGTAGGTTTGTGTGCATGTAATTCCCAACCCAACAGATTACAAAATTCTTGCTCAAGCATGGTACTTCCCAGATACAAAACAAAGAAATATGACCCATAAATGCAGCAGCACTAGCCCCTCTAAGATCATTACCTAATTTTTGAGACGTTCTGATTACATATCACAGAAAGGGATACTGTAATTCTCAAACTGATCAATTCGCCTTCACCTTTTATAAGAAGATAGTTTCTTTATTATACAGTATGTTTATAAAGTTTAGAGGGGAGGGGTATGTTGGGAGGGATAGTCCACAAAAGCAAATAAATGATGGGGTACTGCAATTCCAAAAAGCAGAGTGACAGCATGATAAACTTATGTTCCAAGTACAGGAACAAAACACACTTGTAAGAACTAGACCTGGGTAAAACACTAAATTGAGAGGAAAATGTCATAATTTGGTGATCAATTTGTAGCTACATAAATTTCATAATTTAAAATATATTTTCTAATGTTTATTTATTTTTGAGAGAGAGAGAGACAGAGCAGGAGCAGGGGAGGGCAGAGAAAGAGGGAGACACAGAATCCAAAGCAGGCTCCAGGCTCTGAGCCATCAGCACAGAGCCCAACATGGGGCTCAAACTCGCAACCTGCAAGATCATGACCTGAGCTAAAGTCAGACTCTTAACCAACTGACCACCCAGATGTCCCATCATAATTAAGAACAGGAAATTTATCAGCTTGCCTGCCTTCTGAAAATCACTCATAGGCTAATAAAAACAAAAGGCTGGAAATAGGAAAACAGGTTTGTGTCTGATTATGTAACTTGGGATAATCTCCATTTGAAAACGGGATAACATATTCATCCTTTCATGTTTGAAAATTAATAATGAAACATAAAAATGTGGCAGTTCTTAAAAAAAAAAACAAACTCCATTAAATCCGAAATACTCATTTATAATGAAATTGAACAAAGGCAGGGAGAAATCACTTAAACCCCAAATTTCCTTTTTTTTTTTTTTTAATTTTTTTTTTAATTTTTTTTTAACGTTTATTTATTTTTTTGGGACAGAGAGAGACAGAGCATGAACGGGGGAGGGGCAGAGAGAGAGGGAGACACAGAATCAGAAACAGGCTCCAGGCTCTGAGCCATCAGCCCAGAGCCCGACGCGGGGCTCGAACTCACGGACCGCGAGATCGTGACCTGGCTGAAGTCGGACGCTTAACCGACTGCGCCACCCAGGCGCCCCTCCAAATTTCTATTAAAAATCTGCTACAGGAGGCACCATGTTGGAGGCAGACATAGTTTCTCTGTAAGTCCAACAGCAAATTATTTCTCTACCAAAACATACTGTTAGGCAAGACCTGAAGCAATTGACATTTAGGGGTCACACTAGATGGAAAACAACAGTTTCACAAGTAGGTTACTAAACCAGGCAAGAAGCTCTGACCCACTAGACTAGCAGATTATCTCCCATCTCATACTCACTCCAGGGCACACGCTCAGAAAATTTTTCTCTCCATGTCTACTTGGCAGAACACGGGTCAGTGAATTCCAGAAAGCAAAAAGTACTTATAGGGGTGCCTGGGTGGCTCAGTCGGTTATGCGTCCAACTCTTGATCTCGGTCTATTATGCATCCAGGTCATGATCTCACAGTTCGTGAGTTTGAGCCCTCATCGAGCTCTGCGCTGTGTAGAACCTGCTTAGGATTCTCTCTCTCTCTCTCTCTCTCTCTCTCTTTCTCTCTCTGCCTGTCCCCAGTGCATGCATGCGCACTTGTTCTCTCAAAAAATAAGTGATTTTTTTAAAAAACCTTTACAAAAATTAAAAAAATAAAAGTACTTACAACACTATTTTACTATTATTCAAGTTAAGAATTTTATTTTAATTCTTCTTCAAAATATCATATTAATTTGTTATAAACTTATTACATGTTCTGAGTACCATTCTAAGTACCGTAAATGAACAGACAAAAAATTCTACCCTTATGTGGCTTCCATACTGTTAGTATGGAATCACACTAGTATCAATCAAACATATTCTACAAAGTCATCCTGGACCCCATAATATATGGTATCAGTGTAAAGTATAATGTTCTTACCTTGTTCTTCACTTCCTTCCTTACAAAGACTAGAGCTCTGGCCCAGGCTTAAACTAATATCATCAGAAGTCTTAGCGGTGTCTGTGTCTCCTACAAAATTAAGAGAAACGTGTAAGCACATTATATTAAAAGCAAAGGCTGTACGGTGTGGCATAACCAGAAAGGATGTCAACTACACTAATTTCCTATGTACTGTACTAGTACACGATAGCTACTAGAGCAGTTTTTGTTTGTATGGGTTACAATGATGGAAGATCACTGAACAGGAAGCATCACAGACTATCAAACCACATCTTTGTTCTCACAGCACTATAAGGCAAGTAATAAGGAAACCTTCACACTGCTAATAAAACTTCCTTTAAAAAGAAGCAATTTTCGGGGCGCCTGGGTGGCTCAGTCGGTTGGGCATCCGACTTTGGCTCAGGTCATGATCTCGCAGTCCGTAAGTTCGAGCCCCACGTCAGGCTCTGTGCTGACTGCTCAGAGCCTGGAGTCTGTTTCAGATTCTGTGTCTCCCTCTCTCTGACCCTCCCCCGTTCATGCTCTGTCTCTGTCTCAAAAATAAATAAACATTAAAAAAAATTTTTTTTTAAATAAAAAGAAGCAATTTTCTAAAAGAAATGTAAAGTTTGTAATAACAACCTGAAACAATATAAATTTCCTCCCCAGAGATAATTATAAAAAGTCCCCTAAAAAAGTATAGGGAAAAAATATGAATTTACCTGAAATAGATGTATGTAATAGGTATATATAAAAGACTCTTCCTCTTTTTTACTGCCTCATTTGTGCCCAATTTAAAGGTTTCACATAAAATTACTTAGTTTTCCACACCTCACCAAAACCCATGAAAGTATTGTCCTTCAAGGCAAGGAAGTTTCTTATAAAGCAAAACTTACAATTCATGCAATGTAATGCAAATGTTCAAATATGTTTGTGAGATTTGGATGATGAAAGGAGAACCAAATTTAAATCAAGTAACCTTTAATACAAGATACATAACTGTATCTACAAAATAATTTCAAGAATGATTTTTCATTACATGTGAATACACAGTACTGTTATCTTTATTACATCCAAAAATGAAATGGAAAGTCACAGGCAACTTTCAACTTAGATAATGTCTACCTTTAATAGTTGCTGCTGTTCCAAGACGAGAGGAACCAGATCCAATCTGAAAATGATATTAAAACTAATTAAAATGCTATATATCATTATCAATATAGACTAGCAAATTATCAAGCAAAACTTTCATATTATTAAAACATGCTATCAGTTACTTTATCAATATTAAAAGATCCCCTTTGGGCATGTTCTATCAGAGCCACATAACCTATTTGTTGTAGCACATTCTGCATATATATTACAGATGTGCCAGGGCACTGATTGAATCCCTCTGCATGCTTAGAATTGATGGACCCACAGAGCAGGATGCCTCCAACATCAAGCAATCTATGTCATACAATTACTACCATTTTTTATATTGCATCATGACATGTTCACATTATAAACAAAAGCAAAACTGGGTGTTGAGTCTACCTGAAACAAATGCCCTTATCAGGGTATATAAAAGGAAGGTTCTGAACAAAGCATTCACATATGCTACAAAGAGCAACGTAAATCTTGTCAACTTGTTAGTGTATCAATATGAACTTTCCTGAGTGCTAGACAAAAAGTAAGTAGTACTTCTTTGTAGACTGCTACTAACATCTTTAAAAAGAAAAAAACTAAGGAATCCATGAAAAATGACTTTTTAGCACTAGTTATAAACAGAAAACTAAAATCTATTGAGTTTTTAATGCTTATATTCCAGATGATAGAACACTCCTCTAAAATCTCAGTCATCATTCATTACACTACCATAAAAATCATATAAACAAATACCAAAAATTCCATAAACACATTAGGGAAACCAAACATAACAACATGACAGTTACTAAATCCGCAAGTCCTAGCAACTTTCTATAACCTGTTTTTAAGAGATATTAAAAGAACATAGTCAAGCAAATTTAATATTTTAGAATAAAATTAAGAATATTCATATAATACTTTGCATTTTACCAAATCCTTCCTTTCAATGAATCAACTGACTAGGCGTATAAAATAAGAAATTTGCTCAAAATGTAAGTCAATATTGAGTTTGAAAGGGCATGAGGATGGCAATTAAATGGTGTATACGTATGTAAAAACCCACTGTCCTGTACACTTAAGAAGTGTATACTATGCTGCATAATAGTTATATGTCAGTGAAAAAGTGAGTAAAAAAAAAAAAAGCAAATACAAACAGGTTAGAACTACTAATTCTTGATGTGGCCAATAAAAAAAAATAAGTTTTGCAAAATTTTTAAACAGTTTATTAAGCTTGAGTCTCCTGATTTTTCCTTATCTTTGTTTTCAATTAGCCATAAAAAGCTCTGCAGTTAGAAAAAGATGTAAAAGCATTCTACTGCAAAACAAAGTTTCATTCTTACCACACCCGCTAGATAAGTTATAGAATTCATATGTTATTTTCAACTAGAATAATAAACACATTATTCCCTAGATAGAAAAACAAGTAATAAACAAAAACCCCACTTTATGCACACCCTTCTACAAATTTAAACTTAAAAAAAAACTTTTGGGGGCACCTGGTGGCTCAGTCACCTTGAGCATCCAACTCTTGATTTTGGCTAAGATCATGATCCCAGCCCCATGTCAGGAGGCTGCTTAGGATTCTCTCTTCCCCCGTCCCTCTCTCCCACTCACGCACACGCTCGCTCGCTCTCTCTCTCTCTCAAAAAAAAAAAAAAAAAAAAAAAAAAAAGCCAAGTCAAGGTTCACATCACCTCTTTCTATTAAAAAAAACAAAACTTGAATATGATTATGGTAGTCATTTGGTCACAACCACGGAAGTGTTCCCTTTTGTTTTCTTAACAAGATTCCCACTTTGCTCAGATGCTGAGTATCCATCTTTTGATCTCTGAGAAGGGGGCCCAGGCTCCAGTCTAGGGGTACGCCTTGGTTCCTGGTCAATGAACACAGGCAAGAGTCTGCGGGAGGGCTTCAGGGAAAGATCTCTGCATGTCTGAGGAGACAATCGAGGACAACTCTGCGCACAGTGCCCCCTGCTTCCTACTTTCCAGCAGGGTCATAACTAAAGCTGCTGTGCTCATTCTGCAACCCTGAGGGAAAAGCCAGCCCAAGTCCTAACATTACTGAGCTGAACAAATGCCACACAGCCCCCTCCATACCTGGATGACAAACATAAACTCTTATTTAAGTCACTTAACTAGGTGAGTTCTATTACTTGCTGGCTTAATGGACAGAATGGATGGTTATATTTTATTCTTCATGTTTTCCTGCATTATTTAAATTTATCCCCCCAAAATATAAGAATTGGGATTATTTACATATGAAACAGGGGATTGAGAAAATGAACATCCAAATAGGAGTACATCCAAATAGGAGAATGCATTCCCCAAAATGTCACTGTAGAAAAACACTTAATGACATTAATATTCATGATATAGTCAATAAAGAAAATCAAGTTCCAAACAGCATGCATACTATAATCCCACCTTTTTAAAAAATGGTTTCTGATTATGACATTATGGATGATTTTTATTTTCTTCTGTTTGCTTTCCCTCACTAGCTATTTTTGTAAAAATGAACACATTTAGAAAATGAAAAATTTAAAGGAAAAACAATAGTCTGCACAAACCAAAAGGGTCCGGTTGTTTCTTCTCTTTTGTAAATGCCATAGGAAAGGTCAGGAAGGATTATGGGTATCTGAGAAAAAAAATTCTTCCAATTAAAGAACAATCAGGCAAGGCCACCTCCTCCGTGCAGACTTTGCCCTTTCTTCTAGCTGGAAACAAATTATTTTCTCCTCTAAAATCATTGTCCCCTCTTCTGTACCATTCCTATGACAATTATTACTTTCTATCTTATATTTACATTTCCTTGGTAACATATGTCATGTTTCTTACTTTGGTTATTTATGGCAAATCTACTACGAAACTGTCAAGTCTCTGAGGGTAAGACCCCCCTCCCCACTCCATTCAAGTAAACTGACTTGAAAGGTATCTGGCACTAAAATATATGAAGGAAGACCAGTGACAAAAGGAAAGAGAGGGAGAGGGAGGTAGGGAGCAGTAAAAAAAAAAAACAAGAAAAAAGAAATGGAAGGGAAACAGAGGGTAGATGATGGAAGGGAGACAAAGGTAGAAGTGGCAAGAAGGAAACAATGATAATAACAACTGAGATAGAGGCACTACGCTCCAGTTCACTACCTAGTACTGAGGACATTCACACAAATAACTAAGATCATGTGTAATAAATGCTACATAATAAAATATGTACAAGAAATATAGTATGTCTTCTGGTAATATGGCTGCCAGCATACAAAAAGGCGGTAAAAATAATTATGCCAACCATTCCTTTTGTTAGGATAATACTAAAACACCAAAATCCATGTAGCACAATAACTTCCAATATTTGCCAATTTTTATTCAAGAGTTAATATTTTTTTTTAATTTTTTTTTTCAACGTTTTTATTTATTTTTGGGACAGAGAGAGACGGAGCATGAACGGGGGAGGGGCAGAGAGAGAGGGAGACACAGAATCGGAAACAGGCTCCAGGCTCTGAGCCATCCACCCAGAGCCCGACGCGGGGCTCGAACTCACGGACCGCGAGATCGTGACCTGGCTGAAGTCGGACGCTTAACCGACTGCGCCACCCAGGCGCCCCCAAGAGTTAATATTTTAAGGAAAACCAAATCAGGCATGCCATGCATTTGTGTGCAGACAAGCTTTAATAACACTCAGGATGGGAGTCCCCCATAAAACATGGTAGAGTTACTGAAGACGGCTGCACCCTTTCAACTGTCCTGCTGAAAAAAACGATAAAAAGTTTGGCTCTCCAAAAGATTGTGGGGAAAACACAGGCTCACTCCCTAGTAATCTTACATTGCCAACACGTGTTAGTATGAACAAAGGCCAGAGTTAGTTAAGCATAGAAAACAAGCAGCCATATTTAAGGGCTAAGTCATTTCATTTCGTAAAGAGACACAGAAAGCCAGGCTAACCAAGAGAGGGTTAAGGATAGCAACGTTTTTCTTTAAAACTGGTATTGTAAAAACCGAAACTTGAAAGGTATGAACCTAATTAAAATGTCAGTCCTTTTCCATAATGTTCTGTGTGTGTGTTTAACTCTGACATTTCCCATCTGCTTGTTATGGAAAGAATTCAATACTACACTACATTCAATCACAACTAAAACTGCAACCAAAAATTCACCCACTTGGAAGTTTAAATGATGAAATACAATTCAAATAGAGGCAAATCTTCTATACAAGACCCTATTCAAGATTTTTTTTGATTCACAGAATATGGTGTTTTTCCTAATACTGTTCTGAGATAATGTAGGGTTAAACAATGTGGAACAGCAGAATACTGTGGGGCAGTCAGGATAATTAGGTCTGCTACTTGTTCCTTTCTTAAATGAAGAGCCAGGTCTGATTCTACCTCTAAAGTTCTACTATCTATGTAGACAAAGATAATTAGCACCTATTCACTGAAAGTCAACTCTGCACAAGGCGGGTCTATTAGCCAGGGGAAGAAAGAAGACAGTCTGCTCTGTAGAGGCTTACAGACTGCCACATATGACCACATACCAAATCCCAAGTGCTAAATAAATACATCACTAAGTGCTCCATATGCAAGAGAGAGAGGCAATACCACAAGGTCTCTGAAAATCTTGAGAAACAGGGATGGCTCTAACAAAAGTTAGAGTTAGGCCAGGAAGTTAAAACAAACAAACAAACAAACAAACAAACACCTAAGTCTGTGGAGCAGAAAGGAGGAAGAGTGATTTCAACCCACAAGTAGAGTAGTAGAACAGCAGAAAGACTGAAGTGAAAATCAAGAAGTGAGATCTAGACCCTAATACAAATCCGTGGTCTCCTCTTCTCCATAATGAAAAGGCTGACATAAAATAATAACCTACTACAACCCATAGTTATCTAAAGTTCTACTATGACAAGACTTCGAAGCTTCTGGCTAAGTTTCCCCTCTTATGCTTATGCAGTGTTACTCTAGCTAGCAGGCTCGTCTGCTGAGAGGGCAGGCAGGAATAAGTAGGACTTGGATTAGTGTGGGAGATGTTTAGGATGAAAGAGAGAAACGCAGCAGCAAAGGCCCGGCCGGGGTTACACACAATGACAGTACAGCAGGCATCAGTCACCCTTTGAGAGCATACTTTCAGAGTTACTATTTTAAGTTAAAAGTTACAGAATGGAAAGACATTAAAACTGGCAAAAGCAGATCTGTATTCTACATCTCACTATCACTAACACCTTGAACAGCCAGATTTTGAGAAAGTTTTTTTATTAAGTATAATCAACATACATTCTATCTCTTTCAGGTGTATGACACATTGATTCAACAATTCTACACGTTACTCAGTGCTCACCACAGTAAGTGTAGATTTTTAAAAATTTAATTTTTTTTTTTTTTTGCCATGTTTAAGCTAGGAATAGCCCCAGACATCTATACCCTTCCGATACAAAAAAAAAAAAAAAAAAAAAAAAAAAAAAAAAACTGAAGGTAAATGAGACCGTGAAAGCCAGGACCTGATTTTCCGAAGGGCACTCAGCACAACTGTTGTGATCAAAACTACTGCAGGCAACGGTAGTTGCCTGAGTAGTTTTGCTGAGCATGCTGCATGCTCAGCAAAAATGGACTTGATTAATGTGAAAATTCAGTTAAAAATAAGAATACTAACAAAAGATATTAATAAACAATCAAAAATGTATTAATCAGCAAGATAAACCCCAACACCAATGGACTATTACAGACAGAATTGCTTGAGACCACCATGAGGAGGAGAGGAGGGAAAAAGACAAAACAGCAGGTTCCCACCTGGTTACTTGGATCTAGGCCAGCATAAGAATTTCTTGAACTGCAACCAACTGGGGGTGTGGCCTCTCGAATGAACTCAGACATTTCAATCCCTCCACCAGGATCGCTGTGGGGAACATTGAGAAAAAGAGAGTAACTGTCATTATTCTGCCAGCAACGGTTTTTTATTATTTTTAAGTTATTATACCTTTTTCTATAAAACTAAAATATACTAATTTCTAACAGAGAGTATAGCAATTTAAAAAAAGATCATTCTTCATTCCTAAGTCTTATAGTCTGAACTATTTTATAACCACATCACTACTTGAAAATCTTTAAAACTCTCACCCAAACCAATATTAGAAAGCAGCCTTAATGACAATTATAGACACTAAATATAGCACGTATTTTATGACATGTGCCATAAAACCACTCTAGCAAAGACACGATTTGCCTTTTGCTCCCCAAGAGCAAGGAGAAACCAGCCATGGCAAACCCAGAAAGTAATCACATCTTAGACTACCAATCTCTAAGAGCACAGTCTCACTGAGCTGCAAGACACTGATCAACACGCAAAAGAACAGTCAGCCTTGTCAAACTACCTCTATCTGTAGTTTTTAAGTTAACAGCATTTAACTGCAATACTAACTTGTTTTACAGAAGTAGAAAGCTAAGATTTTAAGTTTTGTATAGAGTTAGAAAGCTTAAGTTTAAAAAGTAAAACGATGGGGCACCTGGGTGGCTCAGTCAGTTAAGCATCTGACTTCGGCTCAGGTCATGATCTCACAGTTTGTGGGTTCAAGCCCCGTGTCAGGCTCTGGGCTGATAGCCCAGAGCCTGGAGCTTGCTTCAAATTCTGTGTCTCCCTCTCTCTCTGCCCCTCCCCTGCTCTCACTCTGTCACTGAGTCTCTCAAAAATAAATAAACATTAAAAAATTTTTTTCTAATAAGTAAATAAAAATACAATGATGTGATGTGGTAAAACAGGTATTAGACAAGAGAGAAAAGTACTAAGTTCAAAGAACTGAAGAAATCTACATACAGTACTTAAAGACAAGAGGATCCCCAAATTAGGAAAAAACATCACACCAAATTTCAAAAAACTTAGAAAGTTTTATAATAAGGTTCTTTAGGAACATAACTTTTAGAACTCAGGCCTAAAAGTTACCATAATCCTATTTTTGGCCCAAAGTTTTTTACTCATTCTACTTGGTACATACAGAGGAAACACTCGATAAACTTTTAAGTTATTATTATCAGGGATGAAAGTTCTAGTATTAGCTAGAATTATAGTAGATATAAACCATCCTGCCATCCACCGTCTAGTTCAATCATCTGGTTAACAATAACACCAAAAAACAACCCAAAATTCTTCTGGTGAGCCACCTCATCCCAAACTCTCATATGGTTTTGGGTAATGTTAACCACATACTCTCAGGTTTGGTGGGGAGCACCACACTGGCCAAAGTCGATCAGCATGTTCCGTTCTTTTGCTCACAGAACTTAGTTCCAGGATAAGCACAGGACCCAACTCAGGCTAGTATGAATCAGGCCGGGGGTGGGGGGGGGTTCTACTGTTAAGAGAGGATATTTCTCTATACCTGCTAGTGTTAATGCTGAGATGATTTAAGGCCTGGGGCTGCTGCAGCCATTTTATAACCATAAGGGGAGACGCTAAGAAACCAAGTGAACAAAAGGAGCCCAGCCTGGTAAAGATAAGTCAGGTCATGAAGTGACTGAAACTGCACCTTGCCAATTTGAAGACACCCCTCACACGTAGACTTTTCAGTAATGTGTGCCATAAATCCCCATAAGCCTATTTCAATGAGGTATTCTGACAGCTGCAATCAAAAGACACAGGCAAAACAATTCACTAGCCAGTATACCTTTCATTTAATAAGTATTTATCACTACAGCTGTTTAAACTCTAGTAAATTTTTATTAATGGTCTCATAACCATCCTGTCCCTGGTTACTTAATGGGTTCCTAACTCTATCATGTTCACTAAAGAAAATTAGCTTTCTAACTTGCTATCCGTGCATAGAAATAAAACATACTGGAACGCAGGTACAAAGGTGACAGCCAATTCAGCACGCAAACGTCCAGACATGGAAAAAGTGAAACGTGCTCAGCTTTGTTAGCTGTTTGGTGTCAATCCATACAAGACATGTAGGCCAGAAGGAGAAACCGCTAACTGGGCAACATCGTAAGTGGTTTACAGACCGCTATCACCACACTGAATGAGTGGGGAGGACTAACCAGCAACGTCACTGTTCTCTCCACCAGAATCCATTCTCTAAGTCACATCCCACGGAAATCAGAAGATGGAGAGCAGATGGAAATCATAAGGTGAGGATTAAGGAATCAAATATTCAACCCCAGAGAGAGGATGGAGAGCCCTCATCTTGTCCAGTTTATATACATCAACTGTACTGGTAAACAATTCACATTATCATTCAATTCATCCATTTAAACTCTGCAAATCAATAGTTTCTAATACATTCATCAACTTATACAACTATCACCACAATTAATTTTAGAACATTTGTACCACCTTATTAACAAACCTCTTCACTGTTACCTCCCCAACCCCCTTCCCTTCCACCCCCAGCCTTACATAGCTAGGAATCTGTTTTCTGTCTTTCTAGAGTTGCCTATTTTGCACATTTTATATACATGGAATCATAATACGTGTGGTCTTTGTGACTGGCTTATTTCACCTAGCATAATGTGTTCAAGGTTACTCCAAGTTGTAGCAACTATCAGTACTTCATATTTTTATGGCCTAATAATACTGCATTATTTGGACAGGACACATTTTGTTTACTCATTCATCAGCTGAGGGACAATATTGCCTAGTTTTATATACCACTTCTGACAATAGGTACAAAAGATTACAATCTGAAGGTAAAGTTATTATAAATAAATAAAAGCAAATATTTATTAAGTACTTAATACATTCCAGTCACAGGGGTACATGCTTTATTTGCATTTTCTCACAGAATATCCTCCTAAAATCTACAATATAAATACAATTATCCTCGTTTTACAGATGAAAAACTGAAAAACAAAAGGTGTAAAAACCTGTCAGAGGAGTAAACGACATAAGCTGAGTCACTGGTATATGCAGTTCAGGTGGAAAAGGAGGATACAAATAATATTTACACAGTACTCTACAATGTGTTATATCTGTTCTTTTTCCCCCACACACCTTAATGTAGGTTCTCATGGCCAGTGAGAATTAAGACAAGATCTGAACATCTTGTCTGTATAGCTTTGAAGTCCACTCAAAGACACCAACACTTGCCTTTCAAAAAACAAGCACTGAAGTTCTCTTTCCAGTTCCAAGCCAAAAATGAACACCACTGTCTAAAGAAAGATTTCTTAATCTCAGCACTACTGACATTTTGGGCCACTTGGTTCTTGATTGTGGGGGACCATCTTGCGCACTGTAGGACAGTTAGCAGCATCCCTGGCCTCTACCCACTAAATGCCAGCAGCATTTCCCCAGTTGTGATAAACAAAAAATGTCTCCAAATATTGCCAAATGTCTCCTCAAGGGTAAAATCGCCCCCAGTTGACAAACAATGATCCAGAACAAATGCCCAATGGCCAAAACAGAGAGAGAAGCAGGAATTGAAGGGGGCAAAAAGGATGAATGAAAAAATGGACAGCAATTTTTGTAACAAAATAATCCTCTAGCAAAATTACTATACCTCTCTTCTCTACAAATTCAGAAGAACTTTTAGCCAGCTGTCGCTGTCCTAAATATAGCTAAACACACAAAACGGCTGAGTAAGAGTTTTCTTTATTAGCAAGACTTGCAGATTTTCGGCAATGGCAATTTCAGCACATACCTGGAAAGTATAGTAGTTTACAATTCTCACAGAGGCAAAGTGGTCTACTGCAGTAAGCAATACACCAAATTCAGGGAATCTCTACCTTTATGCCTTAATTTCCCCATCTGTTAAAAAAAAAAAATACCAGGTACACGGAGAGGCAGAAAAGCAGAAGGGGTCTAATCTGAATTATAAAGGAGACTTCACAAACTAATTTGTTGGTTATTAGTATCATTAATTGCTCAAGCTTTAATCAAAAACTTCACAGTACCATTTCAGTACTAAATTTACAAATCTAATCTAAATTACAATGATGTTCATAAAAATATAATAAAAACAAAATCCTTAAACAAAATAAATCTTCAAACACTTTAGCCTACAATTTACCTACAGTTTAAATGGATCCTTAATTTACAATATTTCAAGCGTTACGGCCATGAGAAACAGAAAATATGGTCTCCAATATACTTGTATTCCAGTCCTGAAATCGTATTGGAATCCAATGTGAAACATTAGAAGTGTAATACAAACATTAATGACTTTGACTCTTTTTCTAAGATAAAGATTTAATAAGCATTTTGAACTGCTATCCCAGAGCCAATGAAAACCATAAGGCTCAAGTAGTCCTACCATATTCATTCAGTCATGCAACAAATTGACAACTATACTGTATCAAGCACAGTGACAGGCTCTGGAAATAAAGTATTTTCCTGTTCATTTCTTCTCTTCAGAACAGAATGTGAAAGTCCCAAGTGGGAGGGTGGGGAAAACATGTCAAGAACAAAAATCTACAACAAAGATCTCATTTAATGGTGAAACTTTAAAAACACTATTTAAGGCTAGAAAAAGACAAGGATGTAAGTCAATACTATTTCATTTTAACAATGTGTTAGAAATCATAGTCAATGAAAAAGTTAAATAGGGAGTGGCTCAGTTGGTTGAGCATCTTAACTTTGGCTCAGGTCAAGATCTCACGGTTCATGGGTTCGAGCCCCACATCGCACTCTGTGCTGACAGCACAGGATTCTGTGTCTCCCTCTCTCTCTGCTCTTACCCCACTCGTGCTCTGTCTCAAAAATAAATAAACATTGGGAAAAAAAAGTAAACTGCTATATTTAAAGGGAACTAAAAGGTAATTATAAAGAAGTTTTATAATAGAAAAGCTGTAAAATAATTTGGCAAAGTTAACAAAAGCTATGCAAGCCTTTTAATGGAGCAATGATAAGTCTTTATTGAAAGATATTAAAGAAGATTAAATAAATGGTGATTTGCTATTGTAAAGATAATG